GCTTTCAAAACACTCAAAGAACATTTTGCCTCAGCACCGATATTAGTTCATCCTGACACCTCTTTGCCTTTTCTACTCGAGGTAGACGCCTCGGAGACAGGTATAGGCGCTATCTTGTCCCAAAGGCTAGGTTTGGATAAACCGTTACATCCATGTGGTTTTTTTTCCAAGAAATTATCTGGGCCTGAAAGTAGATATGACATTGGTGACAGGGAACTGTTAGCGGTCATTATGGCTTTAAAGGAATGGAGACATTTGTTGGAAGGGACTTTATACCCGGTTACTATTTTGACGGATCACAAGAATTTGTCCTATATAGGGGAGGCCAAGCGCTTGTCCGCCAGGCAAGCTCGTTGGTCCTTGTTCCTTACACATTTCAATTACGTGCTCACTTATAGACCTGGTTCTAAGAACTCTAAGGCAGATGCATTGTCCCGCCAACATGAACCTTCTACGGTGTCTGAAGCAGCTTTGTCTTCTATCGTTCCCAAGTGTAATATTATTGCCAACACGTGTGTCAGGATACACTCGCCGTTGCTTGCTGAGATCAAGAAAGTACAACATCTAGCTCCCAAACCTGTTCCTGGGGCTCGGTACTTCGTTCCTCCTGAGCTCCAAGTGGAACTGCTGCATTGCTTTCATGACAGTAAAGTTGCTGGGCACCCCGGCATACGCAAAACGTGTTCCCTGATTTCTAAAGATTTCTGGTGGCCTTCTTTTCGTAAGGATATAAGGGATTTCGTCGGGGCATGTGCTGTCTGTATGAAGACTAAGCAACCTCATGCGCTCCCATGTGGGCTTTTGCACCCCTTAGAAATTCCCGAGAGACCATGGTCCTGTTTGGCTATGGACTTCATTGTCGATTTGCCTGTTTCTAAAAAACATACTGTTATTCTCACGGTGATTGACAGGTTTACTAAAATGGCTCATTTCGTGCCCTTGCCTAAACTGCCCTCGTCTCCTGAATTAGCTGAGATATTCGCGAGGGAGATTTTTCGTTTACATGGTATTCCCTCTGAAATTGTTTCTGATAGAGGTTCCCAATTTGTTTCCCGCTTTTGGAAGTCTTTCTGTTCTCACTTAGGCATCAAGTTGAATTTCTCATCTGCCTATCATCCCCAGTCCAACGGAGCTGCCGAACGCACCAACCAAAAGATTGAACAATATTTGCGTTGTTTTGTTTCTGAACACCAGGACGATTGGGTTGGTCTGATTCCTTGGGCAGAGTTTGCGCACAACAATCTCGTTTGTGATTCTACTCGTTCTAGCCCCCTTTTCTTGAATTATGGCTTTCATCCTTCCATTCTTCCGTCGGTTTCCCCTTCCCAAGGGGTACCGTCGGTTGATGTTCATGTCGCCAATCTGAGAAAGTTGTGGGATCAGACTCGACGAATTCTTCTTCAGAATTCCACGGTGTTCAAACGACACGCTGACAAACGGAGACGGGTGGCTCCGGTTTTTGCCCCGGGTGATAAGGTGTGGTTGAGTACCAGAAACATCCGCTTGAAGGTTCCTTCCATGAAATTTGCCCCTCGTTACATAGGCCCTTACAAGGTTCTGTGTCGGATTAACCCGGTTGCGTATCGTCTTGCCCTTCCGCCTGCCCTGCGCATCCCTAACTCTTTTCATTTTTCTTTGTTGAAGCCTTTGGTTTGTAACAGATTTTCCTCCGCTGTGTCCTCCCCTCTCTCTGTCCAGGTTGAGGGTCAGGAGGAATATGAAATCAAATCCATTCTCGATTCTCGTATTTCTCGGGGGAAGTTGCAATATCTTGTTGACTGGAAGGGGTATGGGCCTGAAGAAAGGTCTTGGGTGGGCCGTGAAAATGTGCATGCCCCTCGTCTCCTCCGGGCATTTCATGCTCGTTTTCCGTCTCGCCCCGGTTCCTTCCGCCCGGTGGGCGTTTCTGAGAGGGGGGGTACTGTCAGGTTACCTCTGGTGTCTACCTCGGAGGAGGTTAGACACCTAGACGTCCATCCTCCTAGGGGGGCTGACTCACCCGATCCTCGCAGTCCTCCCGGCCGTTTACACGCCGGCCGCGATAGCTCCGCCTCCTTTTATGACGCGGCGCTCAGTAGCCGACGTCATGACGGCAATCACGTTCCGACCCGTCAATCACGGCAACCAAGTGCCGAACAACGAATCAGGACTCGTTGGGGGCGGGGTCAACAGTTAAAGAGCCAAGGTATAAAAGAGGATTTTGTGGAATGATTCATTGCCCTGTCGTGGTTCTAGCTAGTCTGTTCACTCAGTGCTCTTTCTCTATTGTCTTTTGGTTCCTGACTCGGCTTGTATTTTTTGACCCTGCTTTCCTCTCTTGTCCTTTTGACTCGGCTTGTCTCTCGCTTACCTACTCTCTCGTTCCCTCGACCTCGGCTTGTCTCTGACCATTCTTTGCTTTCTCCTTACGTTAGTCCGGCCATTCTAAGGTCCGGTATACGTACCTATCTCCTGTTTGTATTCTGCGTGTTGGATCCCTGTCACGATCCTGACACACACACACACACTCTAACACACACACACTCTAACACACACACACACTAACACACACACACTCTAACACTAATACACACACACTAACACTAACACACACACTAACATACACACACTCTAACACTAACACACACACTAACACTAACTAACACACACACACACACACACTCTAACACACACACACTAACACACACATTTTTTTTTTCAAATTTAATCCCCCCAGCCTCCTTACCTGTGGGAGAGCTGAGAGGATTCCCTGGGGTCCGGTGGTGTCACCGGGCGGGCAGGCTTGCTGGCGGGTGCGCAAGGGAGCACTCTCCCCTGAGTGCTTCCTCTTCAACTCCCTCGCGCGCCGCTGATGACGTCATCTTCCAGCTCCGGTATCAGTGTGGTGCGCGAGGGAGCTTAAGAGGGAGCACACAGGGGAGAGTGCTCCCTCGCGCGCCCACCAGTCTGCCCGCCGGGTGACACAAGGGCCAGCCTCGGGGGGCCCTGAGGTGGCCAGCTCCTGGGCCCCCCAGGAGAAGAGGCTGGCCACAGTGGCATACATACCGGATCGCAGGGCGGCCGGGCCCCCTGGTGGGCTGGGCCAGGTCGCAGCCATGACCCCTGCGACCCCGGTATGTACGCCACTGGACCGCGGTATGTACGCCACTGGTGTTGTTGTTGTTCATCTTAGGTAGTAATACCTAATTTTAAGACCTGCTGAGGAACAGATTAATGTTATTATGTCCTGATATGTAAATCCATAGAATTCAATGAGGGTGTACTTTCTATCTATCTATCTATCTAATTATCTATCTATCTAAAAGAAACTACATATACGTAGACATATATTTTTAAATGTATATAATACAGTTGTGCTTAAAAGTTTCCATACCTTGGCAGAAATTGTGAAATGTTGGGATTGATTTCTAAAATATGACTGAAAAAATATGATATGAAAAAAAAACATTTCATGAAGGATAGTGATCGTATGAAGCCATTTATTATCACATAGTTGTTTGGCTCCTTTTAAAATCATAATGATAAAAGAAATCACCCAAATGGCTCTGATCAAAAGTTTACATACCCTTGAATGTTTGGCTTTGTTACAGACACACAAGGTGACACGCACAGGTCAAAATAGAAATTAAAGGTTAATTTACCACACCTGTGGATTTTTAAATTGGAATTAGTGTCTGTGTATAAATATTCAATGAGTTTGTTAGCTCTCACCTGGATGCACTGAGCAGGCTAAATACTGAGCCATGAAGAGCATAAAAGAACTGTCAATTGACCTGCATAACAAGGTAATGGAACTTTATAAAAATGGAAAAGGATATAAAAAGATATCCAAAGCTCTAAAAATGCCAGTCAGTATTGTTCAATCAAAGAAGTGGAAAATTCTGGGATCTCTTGATACCAAACCAAGGTCTGATAGACTAAGAAAGATTTCAGCCACAACTGCCAGAAGAATTGTTTGGGATACAAAGAAAAACCCACAGGTAACCTACGGAGAAATACAGGCTGCTCTGGAAAAAAGATGGTGCGGTTGTTTCAAGGAGCACAATACAACGATACTTGAACAAAAATTAGCTGCATGCCACAAAAAGGCCTGGTTACTTTATGCCAGATAACATCTTGGCACGCCTCATAGCTTCTGGCACACTGTAATTTGGAGTGACAAAACCAAAACAGAGCTTTCTGGTCACAACCATAAGCGCTATGTTTAGAGAGGGGTCAACAAGGCCTATAGTGAAAAAAAAATACCATCCCCACTGTGTAGCATGGTGCTGGCTCGCTGATGTTTTGGGGAGTGGGGTGAGCTCTAAAGGCACGGGCAATCTTGTGAAACTTGGTGGCAAGATGAATGCAGCACATTAACAGAAAATGCTGGCAGACAGTTTGCATTCTTCTGCAGCATGGGATGCTCTTGGACTTTCCAGCATGACAATGACCCTAAGCACAATGCCAAGTTGACCCTCCAGTGGTTAGAGCAGAAAAGGGTGAAGGTTCTGCAGTGGCCATCATAGTCTCCTGACCTTAATATCATCGAGCCACTCTGGGGAGATCTCAAACATGCAGTTCATGCAAGACCACCAAACACTTTGCATGACCTGGAGTTATTTTGCCAAGTTATTATGCGAATAGGCAGCTATACCATCTGCAAGAATTAGGGGCCTCATAGACAACTATTACAAAAGACTGAATGCTGTCATTGATGCTAAAGGGGGGAATGCACAGTATTAATAACTAAGGGTATGCAGAGTTTGGATCAGGGGTCATTTCATTTTTTTTTTTGCCATGTTTTGTTTTATGATTGTGCCATTCTGTTATAACCTTCAGTTGAATATGAATCCAATAAGAAATAAAAGAAATGTGTTTTGCCTGCTTACTCCAAGGGTAGGGTATGCAAACTTTTGAGCACAACTGTGTGTATATATATACATGTGTGTGTGTGTGTAAATATATATATATATGTATATATATATATAAAAAGATTATTTTTTAATTATTTTAGTGTTGGGGTATCTGCCCGACAACCTAGGCAGTCTCTCTGCAGACAGTGCTTTAAAATGCTGATTTGGTTATGTGATCACGATGATTTCACAATCATATGGCCCAGAAGGCATTGACAGCAGGGGGACAGTCCCCCCAATCAGGATTGCCATGGTAGTTAAGTTCCCTGCAGGGAATGATCTTTAGGGTGTACTATGCCGCCCTAACAGTGTTAAAGGATCACTATAGGGTCAGGAACACAAACATGTATTCCTGACCCTATATTGTTAAAACCACCATCTAGCCCCCTGGGCCCCTCATGCCTCCATAAATATAGCACAATCTTACTGGATTCAAGCCTGAAACTGTAACTCTGCATGCTGTTTGACTCAGAAAAACAAGCAGTCTGCTGACATCATCAGAAGTGGTAGCCTGATCCAATCACTGTGCTTCCCCATAGGATTCGGTGAGACTGACAAAGAGGCAGATCAAGGGCAGAGCAAGCATGACTCAAACAAAGCCCTGGCCAATCAGCATCTCCTCATAGAGATGAATTGAATCAATGAATCTCTATGAGGAAAGTTCAGCGTCGGCATGCAGAGGGAGGAGATACTGAATGTTTGGATGCGTTTTAGGCACCCATGACCCAGGAAGGATCTCTAACAGCCATCTGCGGAGTGACCAGTGAAGTTATCACTAGGCTGTAATGTAAACACTGCATTTTCTCTGAAAAGACAGTGTTTACAGCAAAAAGTCTGAAGGTAATGATTCTACTCACCAGAACAAATTCAATAAGCTATAGTTGTTCTGGTGACTATAGTGTACCTTTAAAGCCCTGCTTTTGTAGGACAGCATAGTACATCCTAACGGTGTTATGGGGTTAAAGAAACAAAAATATTTGTAGTGATTATTACGTTAGTAGGCTGCAGGCAAAATCCTTCTTGTTCTGAATCAACTGTTTTTCAAGTGGTTTGACCCAAACAGGGATTTCTGTAATCCTGGCTGAAGCCTTAGACTGGAACAGAAGTGAAGGACCAGAGGAATCAGGGACTGGTTTGAAGACTTTGGGGTTAAAGCACGTGTGACAAACTACCCTCTCCAAGTGAGTTTGCCACGAGCTCCTGGAGGAGCCAGCTTGCCGGCCTCCTGCCCAAAGACTATGAACCAAGTGCACGGTCGGTCAAAATTATGACTTCCAGGAAATTCCTGAACTCCTGAACTGATCTGGGTGATTTTTTGATATGTTGGTCACCCATATCAGGGCTATCAGGAGATGTGGGGATACCATGTGTTTTGGGGTACTTTTGGAACTTTTTAGAAATGCTTGTTTTTTTCTGTGCTTGGAAATAATTGGATTAGAATTAGTACAGTTACTGATCCAATTATCTTCCAAGCAGAGGGGAGGGATTGTGTGTCATGTGTGGGGGTGCCTTACATTGTAAATGTGTTGTTGTTGGTTTGTAAGTTTGTGTCCCTGTCCCCAACAAGGTCCATGTGGGCGTACCCCTTGCATGGGGATTGTCATATAAGGCCAAGTGTGGCACCATTAAAACCTATTCCAGCTTACACTCCAAACCTGTGTGTTGTCCTGTTATTGGAGGGAAAGAAGATTTACTCCTGTGTCTGCTGTTCCAGCTTGCAGGGGGTTCAATGGGGAAAGTCCTTGTAAGGACTAGAGCTCCCATGACTGAGTGTTGTCCAGTGCCTGGGTGTGTCTAGAGCTAATTCCCCATTCGGCTCCAGGAAGGAGCGGTTCAAGGGCCCCAGTCAAGCCACGGCGACTGTCGTTTGTCCCCTGTTCCAGCTAGGAAGTGGTCCTTGGCAGAGGTACCCAGCCGGGATAGAGAGAGTTCAGCTACAGCATGTAATAACAGTTTAACCTCTTAACATAAGCCAGCACCAGTGGCGTACTAAGGGGGGGCGGGGGGGGGCGGTCCGCCCCGGGTGCCAGCCGGGTGGGGGGTGCCATGACCAGTCCCGCCGCCCCCCCCATGCTGCAGCCGCCCGAGCGCTCTGTACAGAGCCTCAGGCGGCTGCAGCTTTGCCCGGGCGGTGCTTCCATGAGGGCGGACCGCACCGCCCGGGCGCAGCCTGAGGAGAGGCTGACAGGAGGGAGCGCTCCTGTCAGCTCCCTCACTGCAGCATGGTCCGACGGGTACAGAGAGCAGCTGTCTCCTGTACCCGGCCGGACTAACAGGAAGTGCACACTGAGTGTGCACTTCCTGTTAGTCCGGCCGGGTACAGGAAACAAAAGCTCCCTGTACCCGCCGGCTATACTGGGATCGGCCACGCTACAGGGAGGTAGGGGGGAGGGGGAGAAAGAAGGGGGAGAGGGGGGGTGAGAGAGAGAAATAAGGGGGTGAGAAAGAGAAATAAGGGGGGCAGTGAAAGAAACAAGGGGTGAGAAAGAGAAATAAGGGGTGAGAGAGAAATAAGGTGAGAAAGAGAAATAAGGGGCAAGAGAAAACAAGGGGTGAGAAACAAGGGGAGGTGAGAAAGAGAAATAAGTGAGAGAGAGAAATATGGGTGAGAAAGAGAAATGGGGTGAGAAAGAGAAATATGGGGGGTGAGAAAGAGAAATAAGGGGGGTGAGAAAGAGAAATAAGGGGGTGAGGAAATAAGGGGGTGATAAAGAGAAATATGGGGTGAGGAGAAATATGGGGCGGGAGAAAAGAGAAATAAGGGGTGAGAAATAAGGGGTGAGAGAAAGAGAAATAAGGGGGTGAGAAATAAGGGGGGTGAGAAAGAGAAATAAGGGGGTAGGAAATAAGGGGCAGAAAGAGAACAAGGGGGTGAGAGAGAGAAATAAGGGGGGTGAGAAAGAGAAATAAGGGGGGGTGAGAAAGAGAAATAAGGGGGGGTGAGAAATAAGGGGGGGTGAGAAATAAGGGGGGGTGAGAGAGAGAAATAAGGGGGGTGAGAGAGAGAAAAAGAAGGTGGGTGAGAGAGAAAGGAGGGGGGGTGAGAGAAATTGGGAGGAGGAGAAGGAAATTGAAGCGGGAGGAGAGATTGACATTCATCACATACACACAATGCACCCCTTGCACACAGAAAAGCACACAGACACACATACACAAGCAATGCAACCGTTACACACAATGCATCCCTTACACACACAGAAACACACAATGCATTCATTACACACACTCAATGCACCCCTTACACACATTCAATGCATCCCATACATACACAGAAACACACCTTGCAGTCCTTACACATACAATTTCACACAATGCATTCCTTACACACATATCAGGACATCCCCTACACACTCCACCCCCTGTGAACAAACTCATTGGTGGAACATGAAGGTGGACCCTGGGACCCAGACCATGAGCTGTGTAAAGGACCCCAAAAAAATGGAGCTGCTTCCCGTTCTCCCAGAACATTGATTTTTGTGACCACAGTTACAAACCGCCTCCAGAGAGTCTGTTCTGCACCAGACCAGTGGAGCCAGATTGCCTACATCCTCATCTGGTTGTAAGTAGGCAATCTAGTATATTATTCGTGGCACTAAGCTCTAATTTACCTCACATTAAAGAAACACTATAGTCCCAGAACCACTTCAGCTTAATGTAGTGGTTCTGGTGTCTATAGCCTGTCCCTGCAGGCCTTTTAATGTAAACACGGCGGCACTGCAGCACTGGCGTTAGTTAACATGGCAAATCATATGGCTGGGGCATTGTGATGTCACATGGGGGGCGGCAAACTTTACTTTTGCCTAGGGCGGCAAAAATCCTTGTACTGGCCCTGGCTGGAGGGGGCTGTGTGAGCTGTGGCCGCACAGTGTCCCATGGTAGTTAGGGTGCCGTGCGGCCAGTACAGCTCACTCAAGCAAACAGCTGATAAACTGGCCGCACGGAGGAAATGTGTATGTGTGACTGTCTGCCTGTGACTGTGTGTGACTGTCTGCCTGTAACTGAGTGTGTGACTGTCTGTCTGTAACTGAGTGTGTGACTGTGTCTGTAACTGAGTGTGTGACTGTGTCTGTAACTGAGTGTGTGACTGTCTGCCTGTAAATGTGTGTGTGGGGCTGCAGGGATTTTGTAGAAGGGGGTGGGGGTTTTGTATTGGGACAGGAGTCTTTATAAGGGGGGATAAGCAGGGGATTTGTGGAAGGGGGTTGCGGGGGTTTTGTAGATGGGGCAGTACAGGATTTGTAGAAGGGGCAGGACAGAGGTTTTGTAGGAGGGGCAGGGCAGGACAAGGGTTTTGTAGGAGGGGCTGACAGCGGTTTTGCAAAGTTTACAAATTGTAAAAATAAAAGAAATAAAACCTTTAACATTTTTTACAGGTTTTTTGGGGAGGTGGATGGAGAGGGGGGGGGGCAAGCACAGGATCCGCCCCAGTGCCAAATGCTCTAGGTACGCCCCTGGCCAGCACCCAGGACGTATTCACACTATAACAACTTTATTATTACAAGGTTGTTATAGTGCTTAGAGTGGTCCTGTAATTTCTCATATTTTATCACGCATGCTTTTCATTTTTAGGATAACCCTTTTTTCTTGTTTCAACTGTTAATAAATGTTTTAAAAGGTCGGCTTTTATAAAAGGTTTATGTTACCGATATTGGAAGCAAATTTATTATATAAATATTAATGATCTGTTTTACACAAACTGTAAAATGTATCTTTTTTTTTTTCATATCAAATATAAGACACACATTGAAATATTGTAAATATATAATCATGTACTTAGGAAGCACTTAAAAATTTGAGAGACCTTGGTATATTTATTTCTTGTAAAATGTTTTAAAATAAATTATAGATTGCACCCTTGCAATGACTGTGCCACATTATGCAGAATAGTTAGCATTAAATCTTCATTTGGAGAGCTGAAAAGGGATACAGAAGTTCCTTTCTTGTGTTTTTTTATTTTTTTTTATTATCCTAGTGGCTTGAGATTAAACAATAAATCTGTTATCAGTTAAACGCAGAGTTTTTACATAAATGGTTCTTGCAGTTCAGGTTTAGTAAAACTCTAAAAGTGGATCTGTCATGGTTTTGTTTTTAGTTTAATAAAATTATTTGTCAAAGTCTGGTCCTAGTATTTGGTTTTTCAAAATCAGATCTGTTCTAATAACACTGTGTAATTGTAAGGAATGTTTAAATTATGGACTATATATATATGTTATATCATGACTATGCTCCTTATGGGAAGATTTTTAATGTGGAAGTTAGACTTCATTTTGGGTGATTGGAGGGTCATCCGAATTCTAACTATGAATTGCCATATGACATTTACACAAC